ACTCTGGTGCATTAGTCCTGACCTTCACAAATCCAGCCTTCAGTCTCAGGCTTTTACTGGAATACTATACATCACTTCATCTAAAGAGTTGTTCAAAAATAATAACAGTATTGCTTTACAGAAATGATGGTATGGAATATACTTTCAAACACAAAAACAAGATTATGTTTTATTTATTATAATTGTGGGGATTGTACTTCTCTGAACATTAATCTATGCTAAGTGCTATTTTAAAAGAGCGTGTAACTGTTTTGGGCTGTATCTGTTTAAGACTCAATCTACAGTATAGCTGGTGGAAACACATTTCTTCGGTTTGTATACTGGCACATATTGTGGATGCATACATTGAAAATGCTGATTGCAAGACACTTTTATCTTAACTCTCACTGTGTCCCTGAATGTATAAGTGTAAGGGTAACTTTTTACCATCAGTGTTTTCACAAAACATTTTTCTCTCATCTTATCCATAGTATTGTGTGCATGCAAAATAAGCTAGACTGGAAATTCAAGATAAGAAACATGAACATTTAGCAAAAATTTAAAAAATATTTGCCAGTACATAAAACAATGTGTAATTCGTGGTACAATTTTTAAAAACTCTTTCTTGCCCTTTCACTTTGTGTAGACAAAAGTTCCTTGTGTGTAGCGGTGGAGGAAGAGGTACTCGGGTTCCTTACTTAAGTAGAAGTAGCAATAACACAGTGGAAGAATACTCTGTTACAAGTCCTGCATTCAAAATGTTACTTAATTGAATGTATTAGCATCAAAATTTACTTTGAAAATACACATAAAGTACCAAAAGTAAAAGTACTTATTATGCATATCAATGGCACATTTCACATTAATGTATATCATATATTGGACTGTAACTACTGATGTATTATCACATTTAATGTTTGATGACCTAGTGATTACAGCATTGTACATACTGTATGTAGCAGGGACCTTTATCAAGATGAGGTGGTGAACAGTAAGCAGCAGCTTTCTACACTGTGAAATCTGGTGAGAGGTAAAATAAATATACTGCAGAGTTCTGGTGTCAGACACATGCTAGGTCATGTGACTAGACATTTCATGTTCGATCACATTATTTTATCTCTGTGGACCTTCTACTTCCAATATTACACGAGTCATTGACAACTGTGTTTTCTTTTTTAAGTCAATAAAATATGATAGTGAGCTTGGCTGTAAAACAAATTCCCTCATGTGATCCCTTTCAACAACTCACCTCTATTTCACAGGCTTTACATAAAGCTTAAAAGAAGCTGGCTGAACTTTGCTGTGTTGTGTTTGAATAGTTGAATTTGTAGCGATACCTCCAACACCATCTCACTGCAGTTTTAAAAGCAAACACTGGAAATCCTTGTATGAAGGGAGGCAAATTTACGGTTTGTGATAATGGGCTATACAAATAAATCTTGACGGAAGAACACTTTTTCATACTCATCCAATTTTTATGTCAGAGGTCATGATCTGAAATATTTTTCACCAGCATCTGTCAATTAAACCCCTTCTTTAATGGGGAAATGTTTTCTTTTCCACCCCCACCTTCAACCATAAATAGAAATGGTCTCTGAACCATATGGTATTAGACATGGCAATCAAAGCATTGCTAAAGAAGAAGCGCTATTTCAGTGAGTGTGAAATTGGGATGCTTGGAGAGGTGGAGAAAAGAAGAGATGATTTGTTTGTTTGTTTCTCAATTTGGGGATCATGAACAGAAGAAAAGCTGCTGAATGGCAAAAAAAATAGCTGAGGTTATCGATACTGTCAGTTCAGACCGGAGGACGGGGCTGAGGAAAAAAAAAAAAAAAGTGGTCAGATTGTAAGCAAGAGGCGGAAAAGTGCATATGTGTGCACAAAGAGTAAAACAGGAGGACTAGCAAGTCTTACATTATCTACAGCAGTACTTGAGTAAATGTAGGTTCTGTTACGTCCGTGACCCGGGCCACCCCCTCTCTCTGTTCTTATTTAGCGAGCTACGCCTCTCATACACCCCGGGAAACAGTAGTCCAGTCAACTCAGTGTGCCCAGCTGCCCCGAGATCAGCGGACGAGACCAGCTCTGTTTTGTTTGTTTTTTGCGGAGCATTAAAGACGTTTTTCTTGTCTAGCCTGGGTTCGAGTCTGCATTGTTACTGGGTCCAAAACCACTCAACACACGACGCGCCGTAACACTTTCCACCTCTGTATATACAACAAGTACAGAACATGGTCAGCATCACTAATAATGGTTGTGAGCTGCATTGCTAAATAACTACTGCATGTTCATAATTTACATCATGACATAATTCAGACAGCAACAGACAATTGGAAGTACCAGACTTTATCAATACAGGACATCTGTCCAATAATGGGACAATCAGCTCTAAAGAGGAGGAAAACTGGAGACACGATCACTGTGTTTGTACACGACACACGTTGTTGCTCAATTAGATCTAAAAAAACGGTGACCCCTGAAACATGTGGGAGTGTGGAAACCGCAACAACATAAGTTAGAAAGACAGCCTATCGCTTTTATGAAGTAACTAATAATATTTTTTTTAAGACTGCTTT